AGTATTTAGCCTCAAATTGAGATCCCAAGAGTCACAATTGATCTAAAAAGGGCTAAGTGAAATTGTAGTTAGATCTCAAGATCTCACATATAAATCCCATGATCACATTAAACTTACATATAGTACAAAGTTACTCACTCACAGAGTACAACAATTCTCTAGGAAGATAATAACCTAGGATGATTTTAGAATACAAAGATAACTACCTAGGAAGAGTCTAGATAAATATTATAGAGAGAGTACCCTTGACAAATCTTCACATGCAATTTAAAAGTCAATTTTTAAAGTTTACAAATCTTTTAGAAATTCACAACTTAACTTGTGTTTATGTAATTTATAACTGAGTTTGTCTTAATTAATTTATAAATCCTTTTCCAAAATTTATAAGTCCTCCTTTCAAATTTATAGCATAACTAGTGTATCCAAGATTTATAAATGAATATGTTTTTCAATACCAATTGAGTTTCAAATTAAAATAGTGTGATAATTTATAAGTCTTTGACCAAAATTAATGAGTCATCGTTATGGAATTTACAATTTATAAATATGTTTCTTAGATAATCTAATGTAGCTTAAATTCCATTAATCTAACCACCATTTTATCTGTATGGGGATATATGTCAGAATCTGAAAGTTGAGGGTGTGATTTTTAAACATCTAAAGATGAGGGATTTTCTATGCAATTGAGCTAAAGCTAAGAGCAATTACGGGTACTTTGCCCTGTTCAAAATTAATCTTTCTCATCCAAAAATGCAAAAGAACAAAAAACAAAAATAGAAAACAGAAAACATTCATTAAAATTTCAACTTTCAACTTTAGTGATTTTTTGGCCCAAAAAAGTTTCAAGTGCTTTGCCTCAATTGGCCCAAAAAAATTCACTTTGCATAAAAAATGACACTTGATTGATTTTTTTTTTTTTATTAAGATAGGTTTGGTTTGGTTTTTAGGAAGTGGTTTTATATGGATCAAGTTTTAATATTTTTAACATATAAAATTATATATTAAGGCTAAGCATAACTTTTTATTCCCTTTTTTCTTTCATATTACAACTTCAAGTCACATTCTCACTTTTCATTTATGAATGGAAATGAATGTCACGTCCAAATTAACAATATTCAAATTTCATGATCAATAAATATCATGGTATATGCATTTGTAAGTAACAAAAGTTAAGTTTCATTATAACTTGTCTCAATGTCTATAATTAACATGAATTTTATCAATAGTGTGTGTATTTATATATTCAAGTAATATTTGTACCTTCTTGAGTTTTCAACATGGAGATTGAACAACCTAAATCCAAATTTCAATCCTCAATACAATGAGCAAACTTGATTGCCCCACTCCAAACCAAGTTCCTCTCTTATATATTTCACTAAACACTTTATGGGCATCAATTTCCAAACCAGTCAATCAAACTTCTTAGTCTTTATATCTCTTGTCCAAATATTTCCAGTCATCAATACTTAAATTTACAATGCTTCTTAATAAGACAATTCCCTAAACAAATAAATTTAACTAAAGAAAACTAAATCAATCTAAACTTAACTTTTCCTCTAGCGGCAGCCAAAGTAATTGAAGAGAAATTATCTTTTTAGAAGATACCTTGGAACTTAAATTTAAGCTTACTTGATATTCCAATCTACCCTACACCTCTCTAGCAGCCCCTAAAATAGAGATGGAGGATAAATCAATTTTTAAATGTGCATACACCTCACGGACAGCCACTCTAACAGAGAAGGAAGATCAATCATTTATATGTGTGTGTATAGAAATATATATATACACATATATATATGTATGTATGTATACTGCCATAAGCTCCACAATACACACATAAAGCAATCAATGATAATAAAATCATAGCGCAAACATCTAACACATACCCACAGAATCAGGGAAGAGGAATTGAGAAATTGACATTGTCCCAAGCAAAAATACTTATGATTCACTCTCTAACAGTGGCGCTGAACCAGGAAAAAGAAATGGAAGCTGAACAATATACACTCATCCATCTTGCGCGAGAGCCAAAACAGGGGAGGAGGAAGAATGACAGTGGGATAGAAGAACCTCTATGGCAGCGAGCATCAGTGACGTGAGGTAGAGAAAATGATGAAGAACTCTGACACTCCCTCTTAGCAATACAGCAAAGGAGGGGGAGGAAAGTTTCATTCACGGTCACCGGTGATGGCAAGAGGGAGAAATTTTGATCTGTTACAGCAACCAGAGAGGGAAGAAACGAGGAACTACAATGAACACTCTCAAGCTTGCCGGTCAACTAGACGGAATCAAGAAGAGGACGAAGAGATCTAATGAGGAAGGACAAGCACTCTCTCCTCTGGTCTGGCATGTTCGAAAGAATGAAGAGAACGCTGAAGAATGAACCCAAATCCTGCATTAATGTGTCTGCCCCTTTTCTTGTTTGTTTTTTATAGGGCAAAATTTTAATTGCGAAAAGCTAAAGCAAAATAATAAAAATTTTCAGTCTTGGTCTTTGGAAGATTCAAACCCAAGACCGATTAAATAAGTGATCGCATAATCTCCATTAAACCGGCTGTTTTTCTCGCCAAATTTGTTCAAAAAATTAATAAAAATACTCCTAAAATATATCATTACCTATTTTAAATTTTACTTAAAAATTATGGGTTATTACAATTTAAGTGTCTTTGTTGCACTCTCCACAACTGCACAAGCCATGACAAGTAATATAATATTACTATTATTTCCATGAAGATTTATTTAAAAATAGGATCAACCAAAAAACTTAGCAAAAATTTGGTTAATAGACACGTTTACAACAGGGCAGAAAAGAATGAGTTTTTAAATGTTTAGGAGAGGAAAATAACCAAAAGGCAAGTTCAAAACACGTGCAGGCCTAACATGAATAATTTGCGAGCAAAAATAACCCTAAACCCTATATAATAACTATGCATGCATTTTGAAAACTTTAATTGCCACTCTTTTTTTCCTTTGACATAATTTTTTTATGCAACAAAATTCTAAGTATTGAGTTTTTCTTGTGTTAATTGTCATATATGCAGGAGAAATTCCCAACGAGATTAGTAGTCTTACAAATCTGAATAAATTATACTTGAGTACTAATCAATTGTCCAATCACATACGAAAAAGCATTGGGATATTGACAATGCTTCAAGAGCTATCTCTTGACAACAATAACTTAGAAGGTATATGCTTTTATATAAGTGCTCTTCACTTTTCTTTTACTACGATATCTTATACATAAGCAATCAGTAGATTTAGTACCTTTTGGCTGCATATCAAGAGAGAGATTTGGAACTTAGACAATGCTTCAATGGGTGTATATATTCTCTTGAGTTTAACAACATAGAAAGTAATCGATGAAGTAGTAGTGTTACTATCATTCTTTTTAAAATGGCTCTATCATTGTAAACATGACAAAAGTGTTGTTTATTTTACTTTAACTTTTTATGCACTGACACTATATGTTCTATTTTTTTTTTTTCATTGCAAGAAATATTCTCAATGAAGTTAGAAGCCTTGCACATCTAAAAATTATAGACCACCTATCAGTTAATCAATTATCAGGCCACATACCAAGAGACATTGGAAATAATTTAGAAGGTATATCTTTACCCCCAATATTGCGCTACTATCATTTTTTCTGTTAATATGATATTCTATGCATCAGCTATATATCATGCATATTAATAGTGGTTTTTCTTCTTTTGTTTCCATGATACAAGAGATGTTTATATATAGATATATTGGGGACTATGCCATTAAGACTACTTCAATGGTTATATATTTGTTGTAAGAGATAGTGGCTACATGACTAAGATATTGACTACATACCATGAGGCATTAGAAATTTAACTATACTTTATAGGGAAAATCACTCTAAGGTCCCATGGAAGCCTTAAAATACGTTGAGGTCCCATGAATTCAAGAAATCATTGCTAGATCCCAATGAACTTAAGGGTGAATAAGTCTGAAAATGAAATTACCCATTTACCCTGCATTTGAAATACTTGAAAATTAGTTTGTTTCCCAGTAACCCACGAAAGCCGAAACCCATAGTGAATGGTTCTGTGTTCCTCATTCTAACATCTTTCAAAGTTCATCGCCGACCACCGTTCTCACATTCGCATTCTGTCGGAGAAGACTATTATCACGCCCCAAAACTAGAGGGTAACTGGCATGAAATGTGAACCTTATCATATATCCTTTAAACCTTAAATTGAGAAATCTTTCCATTTTTAAAAACATAGTTGAATTTGTACTAAGAATTATAACATACTTAATAAAAATCATTATAATAAAAGTTTCAACATTTTTGAAGAAATTTCAGTAGACAACATATAACAAAATAGAATCCTAGTTATAGGTTATGTGGAGCATCTAACCTTACTTCAAAATAAAATACATGAATTCAAATATTTACATCAAAAGAAGATAGTACTAAACAAAATTCCACATAGAACAGTTGTATGCCCCTCAAAGGTCAGCGAGAGGATCAGCATCAAATAATAAATCTGAGACCAAAATAAATTTTTAGTGAATAGCATCCCAACAATAAATAATTAAATATGCATAAAAAGAAAGTTTAACAAAATTATGTGTAATAGAAATAATAATTTTTGCAAACAAATATTTAATAAACTTCATCATAAAAGAACTCTGTGTAACTTTAAATAAATTCTTGATTCATTAAAATATCATATCAAATGTTATTATCATGTAATTCAATAAAACAAATAATTGCATTAAATAATTATAAATATGCCATTAATCAAAATCAATGAAAAATAGATCCATCAAATAATAAAAAACTCATAATTATAAGAACTTATTAGAATAAGTAACAAACATGGACACACAATCCATGAGGGTAAATAACCAAATACGGCTTATGCCACGAAAACAAACGTAGACACATAGTCCATGAGGTTAAGTAACCAAACATAGCTTGAGCTACGAAACAAATGTGGACATGTTCTACGAAGGTAATGCTAACTAAATGCGACTCGGAGCCACGAAATCAAATGCGAGTATTAGACCCACGAGCAACAAATGTGAGTGCGACACTCACAAAAGTCAAACTAGTTAGTCATTGACCATGGCACGCCAAGGGTTAACGGAATTGCCATTAGCAACTAATGTTCTGTATAAGGTCCCCCTTCAAATCTATTTTCAAACATGTAAGAAAATTATCACTTTTAAAATAAAATTTTCATTTTCAATGTTAAACTCGCATGAATCATTTTTCTAAAGTAGTTCAATAATTTCAGAATGAAATCCCATAAGTAAAATCCAAACTTATATTTACTGATTAACTAAAATAATCAATTCTAGAAAAATAATTTCATGAAATAAAGTAATTTAATCAATAAAATATCTAATAATCACATTGTTGTTGTAAAAAAAAGAATTTGCATAAAAATATAATATTTTAATGAAGGAAATTTTTAGTGAAATATCAGTTAGGACGCTATCCACTTACTTAAAATTTCTTGAATTCAAGGATTTACCTTTCCATATCAATTAAATTTCTCCTCCTCCAAATATCCTATAAATTAAAATTAGATTGTTTTTAAAATAAACTATATATAATTTCAATTATTTTCTCCCAACATCTCTACTATCAAAATGTTGCTATAGTAAATTTGAAATTTTAAGAGAAAACTTTACACATAAAATCCTTCAAAAGCCATAGCTCAACACTCCATTAAATTACCATCTTCACTTAATCTTTTTTGTCAAACACCAACCATGTATCATTTTCAACCCCCTCATAAGGTCTTTTAAAATTCCAATCTCTTATCACACAATTCATCCACAACCATATAATTTTTTTTTCAAGAATTCAAATAGTTTGACATTAATCTCATGCTCAAATTTCATTTGGGGTCTCCAACTTAATTTCATAGAGCATTAGTACTCAACTTGGATATATCACTCACAAGGATTAATAAAGTAAAAAAAATATGTACTAATTTTTTTAAATTTTTTTTCAAGCTCAAGCAACTTCTTTCTCTTATATTCTATTTCCCAAAATTCTCTAATGTATAAATAAATAAGTAAATTAGCTTCCTAACTCCAATCTCTTCATTGAATAAATCAATCTTAACTTAGAAAATTAAAGCATCATCTTCGACATTTCACATGATAGCACTAAACCAGAATTTCAACTTCAATTTAATTTCTATCCTTCTCGTACAGTCACGACAACAACAAGTAAAAAGGAGAAGTTGGATCCTCAATTATGTCCACACCCCAAAATAGGAGGTGACCGGCACAGGATGCGAACCACACATACATCCCGTAAGCCACAAATTCAAGGTTTATTTCATTTAATTACAAAAAAGTACTCAATTATTCACTAACATTTTAATACTATTACTACTAATTATTTCAACATCTCGTAAAAATTTTAACAGAACCATCTTTGTAAATAAGATCTACCAAAAATTCTGTATCATAAAAATTTTCCTCAAACATTATATCTATCAAGAACTCGGCTCCTTCAAGCCAGCAAACAAAATGTATAATAAACTAAGGATTTTAATTATAAGTTATGTGGAGCACCTAATCATATCTCATGACATAATACATAAATTTCATATTTACATCAATAAGCCATGTTTACAAAGCAAGCCTCCACTCCGAAAACATCCGTCATTGGTAAGTAAGACGTACAGCGTCAATTATGCTATCTGAGACCAAATAATTTTCCAGTGAATAACGTCCCAACAATAAATAATTTCACATGAATAAAATGAAAAGTTTGAAATAGTTGTGTAAGTTAAACAGACAAAATCTTTATAAAAATTTAATAAACTTCACAATAAAATGGCTCTGTAAATTTCAAATAAAATCTCAATTTATTGAACTATCATATCAAATGTTAATTTCACTTGATTTTAAGAAGTCTCATAACGGAAATAAATACTTGTAAATAAATTACTCAATAAAAACCAATGGGATATCAAATCACCAATAACCAGATTCATAACCATAGGGACTTATCAGAACAATTATCAAACGTGGACACAAAGTCCACGAAGGTAAATAATCCAAACGCGGCTTGTGCCACGAAGACAAACGTGGACACATAATCCACGAGGGTAAATTACCAAACGCAGCCGAAGCCACGAAACAAACGTGGACACCCAGTCCACGAGGGTAATACTAACCAAACGTGGCTCAAAGCCACGAAATCAAACGTGAGTACAATGCTCACGAATAACCATCCCTCCGTTCCACGTGCGTTGGCCATCGCACGGGGCTAGCACCTCCTATAAACACCCTGCTAGCTAGGTGTACTATGGCGCGCCAAGGGCTAACGGAACTGCCGTTAGCAACCAATGTTCCGTATAAAGTCCCTTTTTAAAACCATTTTCAAACATGCGAGAAAATCATCATTTTCAAGATACAGTTCTCATTCTCAAAATCAAACTCGCATGAATACTTTTGAGCATTAAAACATGCCACGATAAAATTTCATATCTGAAGTCCATATTTGGCATTTATTGCATAACTCAGAATAACCAGGGTTGATAAAAAATAATCTCATCAATTTTTTTAAAAGTATTCATTATAAAAAAAAACATACGCATACCATAACTCAATTATCTTTCAAAACTTCTTTATAATTTCCCAAAATAAGAATTTAAATGACAAATATTCAATACTTAACATAATTGTCATTAAAATGATTTGCATAAATATAATATTTCAGAAACTAATTTTTATGATAATGCAGTTGGGACGCTATCCACTTACCTATAATATGCCCGAGCATCAAAATTCATTTCTTAGAACTTCAATCAACTCCTCCTTTCTCTTAGCATCCTATTCAATATAAAGAAAGATTTAATGGACTTACTTTAGTTAAATAAGTTATTTTCTAATATTGAAAACACTATAGTGAATTGACTTCAAATCATTATAATTTAATCAACCAAATCTTAATTTCTTCCATCCTTTGAATACTTTACATGCCTACTTCCCATCCAACAAATTGCTTATATCTTAATTTGTTTTCCCAACTATTCTTTAAATTATGTAACCAAACATTAATCAGGTTGCGTATAAACATATCTAAATACACACACACCCCCACATTTACTCTCTCAAGTCATCGAACATCTTTCATGCATATCAAGATTAAATAATTCAACAACACTAAGGTTTGTAAGTATCAACCATTAGACTCTCAAGAGCTTAGCTAATCAATTCTTCCTCAAATCTCAAGTTAATACATCAATAACCTATACCAAGTATGCTAAAAAAAATTTTTAGTAAACATTCAAAAAAATACATATTCAAGTAGACTCCACCTAACAGACATTTCATCTAACAACTTGTAAACATCAAATCTTAATTTATAATTCCAAATTAATTTCTTATTAATTCTCATTCTAGTCAAATTCTCAATATCAACCAATCTAACAAAATTTAATTCAGATTAGAATCCAGACCCATATATATATGTGTATATATATATATATATATAATGAAGCCTTGGAAATCACTTTCTAGCTCCCACAACAGCACGAGCAACAGCAGTAGAATACTCTAAAAAATTCTGTAATTTCAATATCAACTCACACTTCCTCTCACGCAAGTTCATCAAGGAAGAAAGCTGAAGAGTTCTCACCTTAGTTAGCCGACAGTGCACACACACAGAGGGAGGAAGAAAACTGAATCCACAACTGAACAGGGGAAGAAGAATATAGCAATATTTCTGCCTCAACCCACAAATTAATCCTTCCACAGCACCATATCAGCTCTTCCTTCACTTCCCAACCACAAACGAACAAAATAAAGGAGGAAGAAACCAAGGGGCTGTCAATCGAATAGGGAGAGAAGAGAAGATATTTGTCTGAACCAAAAAGAAGGAAAACAGAGCATCACTCACGAGAAGAAAAAGGAACTCAGCGCTGATTCGGATTGGCGATCAGTACACCCACTCCAGCGACCTGATTTCTTCCATCAGCCAACGACCCAGATGTGCACAGCAAGATAGAACAGTAGCACGAAAAAGAAAAGGAACAGAGGCAGAGAGCATGAAGAAGGACTCGCTAATGGCAGCACCTACAGAGACACACTGACAGCAAAAGAACAAGAAGGACGCTTCCAACCGTCCACAGCCTCCAGAAACTCAGCCTTTTACGCACACCGACGACGTAGATACAGCAAGGAAAACAAAACAGAGATAAGAAGAATCATGGAGAACCTGGGCATTTTTGCAAGGCAGTGCTGAGCATCCACGATCGCCGGTGACACGGGAAGAACATTGGAGAAGGAAGGATGAGAAAGACCGATGGAGAAGACAGAGAAGCTCGAAATTTCTAGACCCAGAATTTCTCTCCCTCTCTCCCCTCGTGCTCTGTTCTTGACCGACCAGGGAAAGAAATTTAAAGAGATAATGTTTATTAGGGAAAATTACAAGAAACCCTATAGATATTTTCTAAAATTACACAAGAGGTAAGGGCATTTTGGTAACTTCATTCGATGCCAACAAAAATGAAATTTTCTCTAATATAGGTAAGATTCGAACCTCCTACCTCCAAGTAACAAATTACCATAGTTCCCACTAAATCATTACTCCCTATTTATTATATTTAAAACAATAAAAAAAATCATTTAATTTATCTTCTTCCTTTTTTTTTTGAAAAAAAAAATTTTAAGGTTATTACAAATTATCCATTTAGTCATTTACACACAAAAACTATGAGAAATAAGTGGGCTCAAGACTTCTTTACCTCCATTAAAACTGGCATACATAAGGAGGAAGTAGTGACAACTGGTGCAAGAGAAGAGTGTCAGCCAACAAAAATGAAAATTTAACAACATTTATTCACTAAATCCTTCACTCAAGTATTATTACAAACACCTTGAGAGCATTACTCAAATTTCAATTTACAATAAGCCTTTCCATATTAACTTTCTCATCAACATTTAACTTAACATCCCAATAAAATTATATAAAGTATCAACCAATTCAAATTAGCTCTTAATTTCTCAAAAGATTCACGGCAGCAACAAGAAAGAAAATAGAGGTAGAATCTTCGATCACAAAAGGAGAAATAAGAAGCTTACCATATGCATGTGTAATGGCTAGAACTGAGGAGAAAGAGAGGTTTCAGGCGACACATATACGCACGCCAACCCTAAATAAGGGAATAGCAGATGACGATGACAAGGGAGGAGGATTCAGTGACTCAATCCCCTACAATAGCTGACAATGTAGAAGAAGAGAAGAGTAGCAAGTGGCAATGACAGCAACGAGAATAGTCAATGGTAATGTATAAAGAAGCAATCGACTCGGTGAAGGGAAGGAAATTTTAGACACTCCATCTCGCTCTCTCCCCCTTCACATGCTTTGTTTTTTTTTCCAAATGGCAGAGGGATAATAACAAAGGAGAAGATGGTGACTAAGGGCACACATAACAATGAGAGATCACCCGAAGCTTTGAGAGGCACATGGGGAGACAGAAATGATGAACTAGATTGAGAGTCGAAGGATTTAGAAATTATTTTTTTCCTGACATGTGCGTATGATTGAGAGAAAAAGAAATATGAACATTAAGGAAATTAGGAATATTACAAGAAAAGGCATAAAGAAAATTACAAAAAAGGATATAAAATTTTTTATAATTTAAAACAAAATGAAACCATACTTTTGGTAGATAAAATTTGAACTTGCGACCTTCAAGTAAGCAACCAACACACATTTCATCAAGCCACCACTCACCATTTTCTATAAAACTAAAACAATTAAATAAAATATAAATTAGAAGAGAAATTTATTTAATTTAAATTTTATGGTCATTACAACTATAATGTCTCTTATTAGAGAGTCCAAGACTAGGAGTAAATAAAGAAAGTAGCAACCTATCACTTTATTGACTTAGATATGCCTTAACTGCCATTATCGAACTATCTTTATAGTAGTCTAACCTGGCAAATGAATTTCTTAGATCCTAAAGAAGATATACTTTTGACTTGCTTAAGGATAATGGTATAATTGTTTGTAAACAAAAAGAAAAAAGGAGATAATGATCAGCTGTATAATGACCAAGGTTATATGAACAGTTTCTAAAATTACTACTAAAGTTTCCATTTCATCTTTGGGGACTTATAAATAATCAAGTATGTTTCTTGGTTGTTACAAAAGTGTAGCTGTGCATGAGATTTTTGTAATCAACTGTAATCATGGTTTTTCTTGTCAAGATGTTGGTGCGTTGATGACAGAATTCTTAATTATACTTAAAAATCTATAATTTTAAATATCTATAAATTTCTTCATTGATGACAACTGCTTTCTTTATTGACAACAACCATATACTCTATTGACAAAAAACATTTATTCCATGAATGACAACTAATTACTCCAATGACTACAACCATAAACTCTATTGACAATAACAATATGGTCCATTGACTAGTGAACCATTTTTCTCTGTGACTTGTGTTTTCTTCTTCTTTATGGATATTAATAAACAATGCTAGTGCAAAAATGTTTAAGTTGGAACTTAATATTAATGACTAGTATGGAAAAATCTCTTTTCAACATATCTAATTAAACTTTTCTATTTTTTTCCAAATAAAGGAAGATGGAAGAGAAAGTAAAGACAACAGTGAAAAAATATACTGTTCCATTTCATATGCACTACTCTCTTAGTCAATTTATTGAAGTAGCAAAGTGTGTGAAGGTAAATGAGAAATTATAAAAAAAAGGGTAGAGAAGTTAGGATTCAATAGACTACTTGATGTGTCTTGTAAAAAGTTTTTTGATGAAACTTTAGGATATAATTTTATTGATAATCATGTCTTTTTATATAGTTAGCCCATTTTGTGTAGTTAACTTGGATAATAATGTTATGAATGCTTATTACAAGTTTGTAAATGTGACAAATATTAAATGTTGACAAGTTTTTATCACGTTATTGATAAGTAGTTATTAATATATTGATAAGCTATTAATTCACCATTAACAAGTGCTGAGGCACTAGGTGCTGTTATTCCTTTCAAAAATTAACCAGTTAAAAGAACATGTTGACTACTTGCCATTAGAAATTAACAAGTGGTTATAACTATATTAAAAAGGTAATTATTTACCATTAATAAGTGCTGACGCACTAGGTGCTATTATTCCCTTTAAAAATTAACAAGGTGTAAGTACCTGTTGACTACTTACCGTTAGCAACTGACAAGTGGTTATAACTATATTGACAAGGTATTAATTCACCATTGACAAGTGTTAAGGAACTAGGTACTATTATTCCCTTTAAAAATTAACAAGATTCAAGAACATGTTGACTACTTGCCGTTGGCAATTGACAAGTGGTTATAACTATATTTACAGGCTATTAATTTACCATTAACAAGTGATGAAGCACTAGGAGCTATTATTCCCTTCAAAATCAACCAGGTGCAAGAACCTGTTGAGTACTTGCCATTGGTCATTGATTACAAGGTATCACTTCATTTATAAACTACGCATTCGCTATTGACAAATGCTAATATATTAGGTGTAATAAACAAAAAAACTAAAAAAAAATAAATTCTAGATACATAAACAAAAAATACACTTGTCTCTAATATTTTCTAGCATGGATTAGGATTCTTGTAAGTCTTGAAGGTATGACCAGTCTTATAGCATCTTTCACGATGATAAATCCTTTGTTTTAGAATTAAGATTCCCTTCTTTTATCCTTTGACCTACCTGAAGGCCTTCTAGTCATTGGTGTCCCCCTTATATGGAAAAAATATAATATATGTTCTCTAGAAGAACTTGCCATCTTACAGGTCAACCTGCACCATACACAGTGTATTAACAAACTACACATAGTGTATTAACAACACATTCATCCACTATTGACAAGATGCAGTGTTGTTTCATAGCAAAGATTTTCAACAAAATAAGCTTGCATCAAATGCTTGAAAATAATATATAAAATGTCTCATATGAAAAAAAAAACATAACATAATACATGTTTTTCAGTAGTACTTACATTCTTACAAGTTAACCAGCACAATACAGTGTATCGACAACTATTCATATCATATTAACAACACAAGAAAATACTATTGACAACATGTAGAGTTATTCATATCAGATATTTTTCAACGTATCAATGTTACATCAGATTATTACATATATTAGCTTTGCAAACCAAATGATTGCAAGTATACCCAAAAAGCATCATCCTATCCTTAACAATAATGAAATCATTAACACACAAGAAATTATTTACCCAGCAAACAATGGATATGCTACTATCAATCAATGATTTACCCAATTCTACGACCAACAATTGTTTACTTAGAAAAATTGTTTTTTGTCAATGAAATACTACTGTTACAGGTGAAATACTCCTACCTTGCTTAGATAAAGACAAGGGTTGTACTTATAGATTTAAGGAAGTGAAAATTACTCTACCATGATCAACGAGCATTGATATGCAGCAATCTTCAGTATATCTGATCATGGGTTTCGTAAGACGTGCAGGCACAAGCAAAATCTCATTTTTAATACTAGAGGGCAAATGAATAATTTCATTTTCAAACTTATTCACCCTTAACTTCCTTGAAATCTAGCAGTGATTTCTTGAATTTATTGGACTTTAGCATATTTTAAGTGCTTCCATAGGACCTTATAATGATTTTCCCTACTTTATAAAGCTTTATACCTTCTTTTAATAGCTTAGAAGGTACAACAACAATAAACTTTATTCAATTAAGTGGGGTTAGCTAAAGGGATTGATCAACGCCATTGTACTTAGAAGGTAAATTGACTAATTAAATTATTGTTGTAAAAATTAGAAGAAAATAATCAATGGCTCATGTTGAACTTGTTTTCAACAAATAAGATGTACAAGAAATCAATATATATATATATATATATAGATATATTGTTTAATAATTTGCAAACAAATTCATATGCTACAAGTATATAGTTCTAATTAAGTAAAATGAGTAGAATATTTTTAAGAGGAAAAAGTTGAGTAGTAAATATAAATATGTAGATCTAATAGATTTATTATCATCCTATAAAAATATCAAGTTGTTTAGTGATCAAATACTTGATCACATGATTCAATGGAAGATATAGTCTAAAATCCCTATATCTAGACTCCTTTGGAGCACCAAAATCAATCATATTCAAATATATCATTTTTAAGGACAATCAAGTATATAATTGAATGAAGAAACATTACATTAATTCAGTTAATAGATAAAATCATTATCAAAAAATCATAATTGAGCTAAAGGTCTAATTGAAGGTTTAGCTACACATGATGAATATTTCTTTCTTTTTTGCCAGAAAAAGGTTGTTTTATTAATATTTTGAAAAAAAATACTACACAA